AGTTCACCAGGGCAAACTTGAAAGGGAGTGGGCCCACACTGCTAGTGCCTTAGTCCTGCAAGAGCCTGCCTCACCTCCGAATACGATGGGCTCACCTCCTTTGTGTGCACACTTGCTGTGGACGATCTCCATGGCTGAGACAATGTGCAGGTGGTGGCCTGAGCTCGGGTGATGGTTCAGAACCACGGTGACGGGCTGTGCAGAGCACTTCCCTCTGGGGACCACAAAGGGGTCTTGTTGGCCTAGCAACAGTAGTCACGGTGCCCAGAGGAGCTGTGGTCTCATTCAGCCTGATGCTCACTGTGATGGCGAGAGCTGCAGCCTCACCCCCTTTGACCGATGCGGGGAGGAGGGCCTGTGGGCCCGGCGGGGTGGCAGCCGCAGCGTGCTCCTCTGCACTGTTGAGATGCAAAGGTGCAAACTGCGTGCTGGAGGTGACCGATGATTGTTTCCCAGGCTGGGCCCCATGTTCGTGTGCCAGGTGGGTGGGAAGGAAAGTACCTGGCACAGTCACAGGGTGAGAGTGGCGGCATCCCAGAACACCACACGCTGTCTCCTTAGTACAAAAAGAGACGTGGCATAGAATGAAAACTGTGGTGCTGAAGGCAAGAGGGGCATTTTTTCAAGGAAAAATCTGAGTCTTGAAAGCAATTTTTGCAGCACTTGGGATCTCTCTCATCAGTTCACGCAGGACTTTGCTACCTGAGGGGTGCCTGGTGGAAGCGCTGGAGAACCACTCGTGCAGCTGCAGGTCCTGGGCCATCTGGGCCGTTTCCGCGTCCCCCGCTGTGTGGGGGGACAGGCACTGCTGAGCTGGGTGAGCCGGGGTGGGAGCGCGGCCTCTGCTTTGTTTGTGCAGCTGCTCGTGGGGTCGGGCTCTGTGATCCTCCGTGGCCCAGAAGCGCCTGTGAGTGGGCTGGGGAAGGATTCCAGAGGCCAGAGGAGGTGAGAACATGGCCACGGAGTGTGTTGTCCTCCAGGTACCCATGGATGGTCAGTCTCTGGAAAGAAACTGTGTGTCATTTCCAATACTTATTACATGTTGTATTTCCTTGGTTCACAATTCAAAAATTATAAGATGCTTTGCATCAAAAGCGTCTCTTGACTTTTTCCCACAGCCTCAGTTTCCTTCCACATCTCGCACACACAAGTGTGCTCTGCCTGTTGTTCTGTTCCGTGCCCATTCCTCACCTGTTCGTTCCCCCACCCAGCTCTCCTGAACATCAGTGGTGTAATTTATGTGGAGCCCAAGGAGTTGACATGTACTTTGCAATCTGTTGCTATTATAGTGCTGAGTTAGCTGCGGTTACATGGTGCCTTGCATACAGTTAGGCTGCAGTGCTAGAAGAGAGGTCACTGAGCCAGAGGGAAGGACATGGTAATTTGGATAGCGAATTCCCCCCCAGGAGCGCCTACTGTCAAGGCGGAAGATGCCCCTTTCTCCCACTGCCCACACACTGGGTTAACAAACCTTTTAACTGTGGCTGCCTGAAAGGTGAGAGGACGATCTCAGTGCAATGCTTGGTGATGGTCCAATCTTGAAAAACAATAGAAGACTGCATATTTGCTACTTTTGCCTGAGTGGTGATGACCCAACGTGGTGGCAGAGGAATTGCAGTTGATTTTGTTGACTACTTACGGCTGCCCGTGTGAGTGAACAGCAAGTAAAACGCTGAGGAGCAAATACAGACCAAACCTTTTAACAGAAGCGTTACAAATGATGTGATGCAGCTAATCGAATCAAAAGCGTGTCTTGGGTTTTGTGGTGGACTGACAACTGGTGTCTACTTGTAACCCCCAGCTGAACTGAGTAAGCATGGTGCTGGGTGTGGAAGCCCACCTGAGGATTGTTGCCAGCAGGATAAGAGTCAGAACGGGAAAAGAAGATGAAAGGTTGGTGGGAGCTGAGAAAGGCTGTTGAGAGCTGGTAGAAGCTGCGAGGAGCTTTTGGTTTTTTTTGGAGGAGCTCGTCATGCTGGCTTCCTGATGAGCTTGGCTGTTTTCATCGTCCAAGGAGCTCAGGACCTTGTTAACCCTGAGAATAGCTTCAGTTCACATTGGGAGAGCTCTGGTCCTCACTTTAAGCATTGCTTCCTGGCTCCAGAAGGGAAGATGGTGCACTGCCAGTCTTCTGGAGAAGCTTGCTGCGTTGGCTTTCCTGATGGGCGCTCAGCTGTCCTGATCATTGGAGGAGCTCAGGACCTCACCGTTGCTGAGAATGGCTGTGGTACCTTTTGGGGGAGCTCTGGTTCTTTGAGTGTTGCTTCCTGGCTCCAGTGTGGATCCCTCAACCTGCTAGCACAGATCCTTCATCCCACTGGCACAGACTTCCTGGATTTCACCACTGACCTTTGGGCCTTCCCAGTGGAGATCTGTGAAACAGGCCTGGATGAGGTATTATTATGAGCTCTAGGTCTTCAGCTGGACTCATGCAGGACATTTCCGTGGGATCCAGGCCCTCAGCTAAATTCCTTGGTCTTAGTGTGTGGACAGATTTCCTGTACTCTCTTGTATATCATTCTTTGGGTGACTGTTTATAAATAACCTAATAAACGATGTGCCCTGTATTATTATTGTTCCCCTTGCAAGAAATATCCCCCAAACCACGACAGGTTTCTTTGGTGATGATGTGCAGGTCTTTGATCAGAGCACCATAGAAATAGCATCGGTTCCTTATGGGGTTGCAGCATTCCTGCTAGTGGCCTGCCATCTGTGAACATCCTGCCCAGCTCTGGTCCTGCTGTGGTTCTGCTGCCTTTGACACAGATGTGAGACACAGACTTTAGGATGTAGAAAAGATGAGGCATAGACCAAAGCACGTGAGAGTCAACAGACCTTGGGGGTTCTCTGGACCCATTTTCTTTCCTTTGCTGGGACACACAGAAGAATTTGTATGTCATATTTGCATTGAACAAAGGTGACTTTCTTAGAAAAATATTCTAGGTAAATTAAAGTTTCAGGAAAGGGAAGTTTGTTCTTGGACTTTATACATAAAACACTAAAGGAGCAGAGGTTTCTGTAAAGATTTGCCAACACAGGCTTGTGTTAAATTTATGTGTACATGTACTGTGGTTCACCACATTGCAAAATACTTAGAAAAAGCATGTTATCACTATACAAACAATCAAAGCATACTAAGCACTGGCGCACAGGCTCCTTGGAGTCCAACAGTCCATGCCACTGTGAAAGTCAGGGTCTGAGTAATTCTGCCAGCCATGCGCTGGGCCACAAGCTCACATACCAAAATTTGAATGTCAACGTACAGTTCAGGTGCCTGAACCCAGCATGCAAGGGCATTGCTTAGGCCTGTGCCCAGGTTAAACCAGGTCTGGTTGTCAGGTCCTTGGTGTTTCTGGACTCCTGATGGTACTCACTGGCCACATGTGTAAGTGCTCTTTGCTTTATTTGGAGTGTTGGGCTGATATCTCCAGTCCCCTCTTACTCTCATTAACACTTGAGAAAACTGCCGGCCACTGGGATGAAACATCATCTTTCTGCACCATCCCTCCCCTGACCTCCAGGTCTCCCTGGTCTCTCTTTGCTTTTTGATTCCTTTCTAAAGAGCAGTTAAATTAAGATATGATTCAAGTAACATACAATTCAACTATTTAAAGTATGCAATCTAGCATTTATTTAGTATGTTCACAGAGTTGTATGGCCTTCACCACTGTCGACAGTAGAACATTTTTATTACACCCCAAATAAATTCTATACCCAACAGAAGTACTCTCTGCCCCTCCCCCATCTCCTGGCCAAACACTAAGCTACTTTTCGTGTCTGTAGATTTACTGTCATAGACATTACATCTGTATGTCAATACCGTATCTTTTGTAGCTGGTTTCTTGCGGGTAGCATAATGTTGTCAAGGTTTACCTGTGTTGTAGCACATACCAGTGCTTTTATCCGTATCTGTGGCCAAACAACATTCTATTGTGTGAACCATGTGGTGGATTAACTGATGGCCAACTTGTAACACTGAGCTGAACTGAGATCTCTCCACACACTAGAGACCCAAAGAATCCAGCTGAGGGCCTGGATCCCACAGCAACATCCTCCACAAGTCTAGCTGAAGACCTAGAGCCCATGGCAATGTCCTCTATGAGTCCAGCTGGAGGCCTAGAGCCCACAACAATGTCTTGGTTTGGAGTGTGGAAGACCCAGCTGACGGGTTGTTGCCAACGGCATAAAAGGAGTACTGGAGGGGCTGGGGATATAGCTCAGTGGCATAAGTGCCTGCCTGGCAAGCACAAGGTCCTGAGTTTGATTCCCAGTACCAAAAAAAAAAAAGGAGAACCGGAGGGGAAGGTGGTGTGCTGTTGATTCTCCTGGATAAGCTTGTCACACTGGTTTTGCTGATATGATATCAGCTGTTATTGCCTGAGGAAAGTGGGTTCTCACTGTTGCTGAGGATAGCTGTTGCTCTCTTCAGGGGAGTGCTGGTGCTTGCCTTGAGCATTGCTTCATGGCTCCAGTGCAGATCCCTCAGCCTGCTGGCACAGATCCTTCATCCCACTGGCACAGATATTCATTCTAGCTTCTGCCACTGGCCTTTGGGCCTTCCCAGTGTAGATACTTGGTAGAGACTTGCATGAGACATCGATGTGGGCTCTAGGCCTCCAGCTGGACTCACGGAGGACATTGCCATGGGCTCTAGGTCTTCAGCTGGACTTGCGGAGAACATTGCTGTGGGATTCAGGCCCTCAGCTGGATTCTTTGGGTCTTTGGGTGATACTCCTGCCTCACAAGTGCTGGGATCACAGGTGTGCACCATCATACTCGGTTGACATTCTTAAAGCTTGATTTTTCACAGCTTTTGCAGTGCTGGGGATCAAACCCAGGGCCTTGTGCCTATGAATGGAACACAGCTCTACCACTGAGCTTCAGGACAGTGCAAGTTGCATTTTTAAAAGCAGGGGTCTCCTGGGCATCGGCCATGTTCAGCCCCTGGGGCCAGCCTGGGGTGTCCCATTCCTGTGTTCACCACTCCTTGTTTTTAACAGAATGTCGAGGTCCTGGCCAGCCGGAGCAGCACTTCAGAACAGAGCCAGGTGGGGGCTGAGATGCGGGAAAAGGCACTGAAGGAGGAGAAGGCGAAGCTGCAGGCCAGAGCTGAGGAACTGGAGCGCAGGGTGGCTGAGCTGCAGGCGCAGATGGAGGACAGCAAAGGTGATGGGGCCCGCGCTGAGGAAGCGCTCCGGAAGTACGAGGTGAGGCGCGCCCGGAAGTAGGGTGAGGCCTGTGGGCCCAGGTTGGGTTTGGTCTCTGAGTGGGAAGCAGCTTGTTACCCTACCGTACTAGGAAAGGTCCAGCCAACCTCAAGTAGGCTGCAGGCCATTTCTGTGTCCTTCAAAGAGGCTGCGGATGAGAAGCCTAGGGGCAGGGACCTGAGGCCAGCACAGGAAGCAGGTGGGCACTTGGGGTCTCCACGTGCTGCAGAGGTTCCTCACATCACCCTCAGGCCCGTTCTCACTCAGAACCATTCTTTTATCAACACAAAGTTGATGTTTTTGAAGTTATACCGGTTTTAGCAAAATGACGTTTGCTGGCACTCTGGAAGTGGGGAGCGTGAGTGAGAGATGTGTTTAGTGGTGACAGAGGGGACACCCCTGGGCCTCTGCCCGAAGCACCACAGAACCATGGTGCCCTGGTCTGCCCAATTCCTGTAGTCTCTAATGCTCCAGGGAGGCTGGTGTTTGCATTTTAAAAAGCCACCATAGATAGTTTAGATGTTGGCATGTGTCACTGCACATAGGCTTCCACATCCTGGGGCTCAGCAGCCATGTGTCAGCTTGGGCCCACACAGGTGTGTTATGACCACAGCCACCCGTGTCTGTGGATCTCTTCACACTCGTCTCAGCCCACGGAGTCCGACTCGCAGGCGCGGTTGGCATCTGACCCAGTGTTTCCTTGTAGGGTGAAGTGCGGCAGCTAGAGGAGGCCCTTGTGCATGCCAGGAAGGAAGAAAGAGAAGCTGTGTCGGCCAAGTGTGCCCTGGAGAGTGAGCTGGCAGATGCTCAGGTAAACACTCAGGGCTGTGGCCTTCTTCCCTCACAAGGGACAGGTGGAGATGGCTGCCAGTCCTGTCCTTCCACAGCACCCCCGTTCACCCATAGTGACCACCACTGAACTATCCATCTAGGCGTGTGGTTCTCTACTGGGGGAGATTTGGTACTGTCTGGAGACGTTTTACTTGTCACAGCTGGGAAGAAGCTATTGGGCCTTCGTGAGCAGAGCCAGGGATGCTGCTGATGGTGCTGTAGCTCCTGGATGGCACCCACGCAACACAAGGGACTGTCCAGCCCAAGGGCCAGTGCCAAGGTCAGAAACCTGGTTTCTAGGCAGTAGAGCCTGACAGCCTGCTGAAGATAAACAGGAATAGCAGAAGGCCGGAAGACCAGTCTCCAAGGCAGTGTGCGATTGGCTTTCTGGCTGAATCCAATTTCTCTTCTCCTCTGGGCAAAAGTATTGCACAGAGCACGGTCCTTCGAGGTAGCTATTAAAGGGAGCTGGAGGAAGTCATTTCCTTGAAACTGGGTCGGTATCTCTATGCCAGACCAGTAGCTTCTTGGAAATGAGATCTTCCCATTTGGAGTTAAAGAGATTTCTTGAAATATATTCTAACAAGGCTGCACTACGTTCTCCCTTGACTTTGCACAGCACTCTGTGTGGCCCAGGTACGTCCTTCCTTCTACTGCTCCCACCACCCAGACATTCGCAGGTCAGTTTCAGACAGGGTAAAAGTCAGGGCCCGCAAGGGCTGGCCAGAGAAGATTACTACAGTCTTAAGACTGGGACCCGTTGGTCCATGGGGTAAGTAGTGGGGAAGGCACTCCTGAAGAGTTGGTTGGGATTTGTAAATGCCCCACCCCAGCTTTCCTCTGAGTACAGCTTTGTCTCTCTGGGAAGTGTAACTCAGGGTCTCTCACCCCTAGACTACGCCCTCTCAGCTTGACTGGGGAATTTGTTTTTGCTTAGAGAGTTCAGTGCCTGGCTGCCTTTGGTTTAGACTTCTTGCTTGATCCTTCTGTAATCTAGGCCTTTATTATAAGGCTTGTTGAGTTGATTTTGTATGATGTCAGTGGCACTGTGCTGCTGGTTAAGGCTGTGATGATGACTGTTACCCAGCCAACTACTAAAGCATTGGGTTTGCTGTGGGGATAGTTAGGGCAGAAAGGGAGAAACATTTGTATTCAACAGGGACAAAAATCGGCACCTCCGTGTCATGTCCACACCCAGCAGGGCACAGCCGCGTGTCACAGAGCCTCTCTCGGATGGACTTCTCCTTTGGCCAGATGAGGGTGTTTCCCACATGTGGAAGTAGTTGCCAGCTGGGTTTCAGAGTTAGTTCTCACAAGATGGGCTCAGGACCTGCAGATCTTCCTGCTGTTGCCACACTCCACCTGCAGATCTCTAGGCTGGCCCTGGAAACCTCCCTGACCTGCGGCTTATGTGGAGCCCTTGTTCCCAAGCGTGTCACGCTGCTGCCCACTCTGGGGGCACAGTCTGTCAGGAGTTTGAGCCTGGCCTGGCACTGTCTTCATCTGTTCCCAAGTTAACTGACTTCAAGTGAGCTGTGAAAGGTGTACCCTCACTCTAAAACACTTTGTTTTCTCCAAAACTGGGAGTCAGAGAGTCAGCCACTGTTTGCTAGCATTTTTTTATACCTCTGTCTTCAAAGCTGGTGGCAAAAAAGGATCTCAATCTTGAGGAAGAGGAACTAGTAACTAGTGTTTTTTCCACATGGCAAAAACAGAACTAGCCATGTAGAGCTATGCATATTTCCCTCATGCCTTTGGCAATCTGGTGCATCTTCATATGTGGAAATACATTTCTTTTCATGGTTGCTGAATACTGCAGTGAACTTACACGTGTTTGCTGTGGCATAGGCAGCATGTGGCAGAGGGACGTGGAGGGTCCATGACCTGTAGTCAAGGTGAAGAAATCTGTGGTTCTGTTTCCAAGTGGCTTCTGTTGGTGGGGAGGTGGAGAGGCCTTTTCTGGGGAACCCACAGATTCTTCATGGGGGAAGTGAGGTCTGTGCTCTGCATCTCCCCAGCATGACACGGAGACAGGTTGGGAGTAGCGGCGCTCCCCATGTTGCCACCCAGGGTGGTTTTGTGGCAGGGGCTGGAGAGGCCAACCTTCTCATCAGGCTGCTTGGTCCTATAAACACATGTGCTCATTGCTCCTTGGTTATTAATATGGTGAACCGGGGCCTCCCTCAGTCATCTTGTATGAAGGCTGTGTACCCACTGATGGGTAAAGGTCCTGTTTTAGTTATTTTTCTTGTTGCTAGGACCAGATATCTAATACCCACAAGTTAAAGGAAGGACAGGTTTATTTTAGCTCAAGGTTTGTAGAGGTTTCAGTTCATATTCGGTTGGTTCCAAGGCAGGGTGGCATAGCAGAGGGGCATCGCAGAGGAGAAACAGTCCATGGCAGGGCAGACAGGAGGCAGTGAAGCCAGCAGCCTGCCCTCCGCCTTCCCCTTTTATCCCATCCAGGATAAAAGCCTGTTCGTTGGTGTTACCCATGCCCAGGGTTGGCCTTCCATATCCACCCTCAGAACTGTGCTAGAACAATGTAGTTATCATACACCCTTGATCCCAGTATCACACCCGTAATCCACGTGCACACACCTTAGATCCAGCCTCCTCTGAAAAGCCCCACCTCTCTGGAAACAAGCCATAGCAGGACCCCAGTTCAACGGCACTAACTGTACATCTACCAACTGTGCCTAGGATTCTCCAACCTGAGAATTTTTTGTTCCACTGTTAGTCAGTAGGCTTGTGTTGTAGATCTTGGAAATGGTCACTGCAGCTGCCAGGCATTTCCCTCAACACTGCCTCTATGAAGAGTAAAGAAAATGCATATTTGTCAAGTTTGCTTCCTCTTGTGTGAATTTCAGACATGTCTCAGCAGTGACTTTATTGGAACATATTGGATAACTGAAGAAGTAGAACATTGTTTACCTCTGGGTGGTGTTTCTAAACCTGGGGACCTGCTAAGATGATCTAATACCTCCCAAAGGCAACTCTGGGGTTGTGCTCTAAGAAAAGGGGATTCCATTAGAAAAGGCTAGAATCTGCATTTTAAGTGAGGCACACCCTCATTTAAGGTGTACTGGAAAAGTATTTTCAGCCACTGAGTTACTATCACGGGTTTACAGTGACTCTGGGCTGGGTGACATTCCAAGGTAGAAAACTGCTCCTTACCTGTACTGACTTTGCTACCTTGCAATAGGGCAAGTGCACAAGGAATGTAAAATAATGTAGAGAAACTCTTCACTGTGTATGTTTATAAAGGGGCCAGGGGTCTCAGGCCCAGAGTGGGTGAGAGTGTGGTGTCCCACGGGCGGGGAGGAAGGGCCTGAGCACAGGGTAAAGTGGACAGGCAGAAGCACACAGAGGCTGAACAGGGCTGGGGCTGGCTTGTCTGGCCTGGAACTCTCGGATTGAGCCCCCAGAGGAAGACAAAGGAGGCTGGGAAGTCTCTAGGGGTGGGGTGGGTTGGGGTGCTCTAGGGTCTGGAGGGAGACATTGCTGATGCTCTGTATTGGTTTTCAGGAACTCACATTTTTGAGATAAAGGTCCCTAGGAGTTTTCTTCCACACCATGGAACATACCTTGGGGTATTTCTGTAACTTTGTCCTTACCCTTGACCCCGAGTAGCTCTAGATAGAACTGCAAACAGCAACTCCAGGGCTTGACCCTGCCTCAGGTATGCCCAGCTATGGGGGGGTGGGGGCAATTTCTGATTACCTTTCTTTTCCCCAGCAGCTTTTGTTGACCTTGGTTCTCTACAGCAATTAAGTTCAGCAGTCCGGTGGCATTGGCTGCCTCTCAAAACAGAGTCAGACTGGCAGTGCCCAGGCCCCAGAAGGCCCCCACAGGAGGCTTTTGGTTCCATTTCATGTGGTTGGCAGAGGAAGGCTGTCCTAACCTTTGCAAGCCAGGAGAATCTGAGGCGACTGGGGAGTGTTTTCAGAATACCCAAGTTTTTGCATGTGACAGCAGCTTATGAACTGTTAAGCACCAGACAAATATCAGCCACTGTTCTCTGCAGCCTTGGCAGGGACACCAGCCTCGTTGGCCTTACGTGTTCCTGTGGTAAGCGGTATTCAGTCCCAGCACCCGACCTCAGTTTCTAGATGACCCAGTCTGTGTTTTGGGTCACATCATCCTGTTCTGAGCTACGGCCCTTGTTGATATCCTCAAGCTGATGGCTTGGCGTTTAAGCCATTTAAAGCCACCAGAGTCTTCCTAAGAAATTTTAGGATTTTGTTTTGGAGTTGCATGTTTAAAACACATATGTCTGAGTGACTCAGTGAGGGGAGGGCATGAGGGAGCCAGGGAAATACCACATCCACATGGCTGTGTTTTGTTGTAAGTACTAGAACTTGGCACTGGCCCACTGCATAACCACCTCTGTGTACTTTTTCTGACTGGTGTCTTTTCCATTTCATACCTTTAGTTCATCAAAACACTGGGGCAGTGTTCTTTCCTTACAGATTTATGTTTTAGCTATTTTAACCCTCAGAACAATCTGCATAGCAGTGTGAATTCTAGAATACAAGATGTGGAGCTGAATATCGCAGATGTCTTAATTGTTTTCATTGCTGGTACAAAATATCTGACACCCCAAGTTAAAAGGAGGAAAGGTGTACTTTGGCTCACAGTTTATAGAGGTTCAGTCCATAGCTGGCTGGCTCCAAGGCAGGGTGGCATGGCACAGGGACATGGCAGAGGAGAAACAGTCCATGGCAGGGCAGGCAGGAAGCAGCAAGCAGCAGGCAGCAGCAGGGAGCCTCCCTTTCCCTTTTATCCCATCCAGGTTACAAGCCTATTGGATGGTGTCACCCACACACAGAACTATGATAAACCAACTATTGGGGAATCCAGTACCACATAACCTTAATGCCAGCATCACACACCCTACATCCAGCCACTTCCAGAAAGCCCCACCTGTGAGCACATGAAGCTTTGGTGAGACATCTAGGTACGAGTCATAATGACAGGATATAAATTACAAAGCAGGTTTAGGTTGTTCTAGCATGGAACTCAGTGCTCAGTTTTTGAGTATAAACATTCAGGATTTTGGACACTCTGCTAAACCCTAAGCCCAACAGCCTTGGCCAGCTGCTGTGTTTTTGGGTTGCATCCCTGTCATTCCTGTGGATGTCATTAGCTAAATCAATGTCCTTTTTGGTCCCTGAATGAGTGTCAGAACCAAAAAGGTGCTGGTGTGTCTGCAGTAGCTTTGTTCTGGTCTTCCTCCTTATCACTGAAAGAACGGGTCAGATTGCTCTTGTCAAGGCCGTGAAATCCCTCTGCCACCTGTGCCTGTGGTTGACCTGGTACCTAGGACTGTTCTTCCTCTGCCGTCTGCAGAGAGCACTGAGTCGGACCGTCCAGGAGCAGGAGCAGCTGTCGGAGAAGCTGCAGGAGGAGACTGAGCAGAAGGAGCAGTTGAGGAGGCTGAAGAACGAGATGGACAGTGAGCGACGACACCTCGGGGAGACCATCGAGAAGCTGCAGAAGGAGGTGAGGAGCAGGAGGGGCAGGAGGGCCGCCCTGCTGGGACCCAGGCCCTCAGAGATCGGACGGAGGCCAAGGGGACCTGGCTTCTGTCTAAGCACAAACTTCCTGGGATTTGCGGATGTCCTGAAGCAGCTCTTTGGGTTTGCTGAGTCCCACACAGAACCCAAAAGGTAGAGGCCAGCGCCCTGTGGATGCTGGGCCCCAGTCACCTGGTGACAGTAGGCAGAAGCCTGGTATGGAAGCACTTGCTTACCCCATGCTCCCAGAATTGAAGTCCACACCGCCGGGCCATCTGTGTGAGCTCACCAGAAGCACCAAAGTCAGTTTCAGAACTCAGTCGTTGCCAGGCATGGTGGTGCACACCTATACACCCAGTTGCCTGGGGGCAGGCTAAGGCAGTAAGATCGCAACTTCAAGGCCAGCCTGGGCAACTTAGTGAAACTCTGTCTCAAAATAAAAAAAAAAAAAAAGCACTAGGAGTATGGTTCAGTTATAGAGCATCCCGGGCTTCATCCTCAGTACTGCAAACAAAGCAAAACAAAGAACTGCAGTGGTGCGGCAGCTCTGTTCACCTGTCTCTTGGATGCTGCCAGGCACCTCTCTACTGGCTCTTTTGTCTCTAACTAGAATTCAGTCTGTGTTATTTTAGCTGTGACTCTGTAAGGTAGGTGTTAGGCTGTCAGTATTTCCTGAGAGGGTGCTGCCGGGGCCCAGAGAGGTTAAGGCCGGGCCTCGCCGTGTTTGGGACGTGGCAGAGCGAGGGTCTGGCCCCAGGGCCTTGCCCAGCTTGAGAGGAGGAGTTTTTCGGTTCTCTAGGCTGCGGCCAGGTCAGAGGTAGCCAGGCCTGGAGGGCACGGCCCAGGGCCGGGGCTCTGTGGCCTTGGAGGAGAGGCCGCTCCTGTGCTGAGCAGGGCCCCCGCCGGCTCGCCGCCCCGTGGAGCACACAGCCCGGCTCACACCCGTGCCCCTTCTGCAGATGGCCGACATTGTGGAGGCATCGCGCACGTCGACACTGGAGCTCCAGAACCAGCTGGACGAGTACAAGGACAAGAATCGCAGGGAGCTCGTGGAAACGCAGAGGCAACTGAAGGAGAAAACCCTCGAGGCAGAGAAGTCCCGCCTGGCCTCCGCCAGACTGCAGGACGAGGTGATGTCGCCAGCCGGTCTCCCCCTCACCTCTTGATTCCAAGTGTCCTTCCGGCCTGCTCTGAAGCGCTGCTGTGAGGGACCTGGGATAGATTCTTAATTCTGTGATGAGGCTTGCTTCTTGGCCCGCCATGCAGAGAGGGGTGGGTAGCATTCTAAGACACACCAGTCCCCAGCTCTGAGGGGAAGGGGACACAACTTCGACTGGGCCATTGGCTTGGCTACTTTAACATTTTCAGCCTGAGAAGTTTAGCTGCCGCTTACAGAACAGAAACGACATGTCCAGCTGTGCCCAAGCGCTTTCTATCCGTTCATATTTTAATTTATTCTTAGAGCAGGAACTGTAGTAACTGACTAGTGTTTTTCTACTGAAGTCTTGAAAATTCCAACTTTTATTGGGATGGGGTGGCTAAGACTTTCAGAACAATGACAGGGAATAAAAGAAATACTTTGCAGTTTGTAAGTACTGAAGCTATTAAAACCTATTCCTGGTTTTATGTTTAAGAGTAGAGCCAAGAAACCCAAATGCTAGCTCCCTTCATCTCGACCACTAGAAAACAGAAAAGTGTTGTAATAGGCAGTGGAGGTCCATTTCTGCTTGTGCCTCTCAGCAGCTGGAGACCTCGAGCAGGTTAGCCGGTTTTCTGAGCATCTGTTTCTATCTCTGTAAAAATATACCAAATCTTAGTGAATTAATAACTGTGACAGGAGAGCCCAGGGTCTGTACACCTTGGGCCCTCATAAGTGGTAGCTTCTCTTTAATTGTAAAGCTTTTCTTTTTTGGTTTTCCACATACACTGCCAAGAGCACTAAGATTCCACAGGAAAACAAATTTTCTTTAAAAAACAAATCTTTAATTTCTTTGATGATCAAAGGAAAGTGGCCCTGGAGTCATCGCTGAACGTCAAAGAACAATGGGTATTTATTACAGACTTCTAGGAAGGACGCTGATAGCAGATCCGCTCTGGCTGGGGCTCAGATGATACAGGACTCCCAGGGAGAACAGAAGCCAGCACGCTGACTCACAGTTCCCTTCAGCATTAAAAACAGTATTTATATTTCTCCGGCAGAGGGGTGGAGGGGCTCGGATGCTTGCCAGGACACCAGCAAACACCTGGTCTGTTTCAACTTCAGAAGATTACAGTGTCGCAGTGACTCAGGCAGAGGGTTCCTTGCTATGTTTTGTGTAGTGGTTTAGTGACAATCTTTGGGCTGGAAGGAAACTTACAGATCCTCTCCTGGGATAACCCGGGTCCAGAGAGACGAATTAAGACAGGCAGAGACCAGCACTGTTTACCAAACAGCAGATATATATTTTTTAAATTCCCTGTAATAAAAACAAAGATGGCCTTTCCTAGAGATTTCCCAGTAGCACCTGCCTGTGAGATCCTATTCCAAATGAAAGGATGCCTTGACTCTGAGAGGAAACTAAGCTACTGAGGTCCTGCGGGTGTTTAAAACACAAGTCCGTTGTCACTCTGGGTCCTTGGAAAACTCAAGCTCAGCTCTGCCCTCCTCTGCCCTGAGTTACAGTTCTTCCTGGCAAAAAGCTCAGGGGTCACACAGTGTTGGAGTAACTGCTGCCTTTGCTTTGAGAGAAGTGGGCCTGCTGCCCTTCACCCCGCAGCGTGGAGCTAGGAAAGTTCTGACGACAATAACCTTTAGGAATGAAGGCTCAGAGTTCGCCATCTTTCTGTGTCTTCTGAGTCCTGATGAGCAGAGGTGGGTTTAGTTAGCTGAGGGTGGCCCGGGTGGGCCGCAAAGGCATTTGTTTCCTTTTGATCCGAGGTAAGTTGTTCGGAGACACTAAACCCGGCGAGAATCCCTTACCTGCTGTGTCTGGGACCGGAAATGTTCCAGGTTTCAGTTTTTCAGATTTGTGGGTATTTGCATAGACTTTCCTGGTTGAGCATTTTTTACAGCTGAAAATCTGAAATACTCTTTCTGGTTGCGGGTTTTTGGACGGGATGCTCGACCTGTACCAGCTGTTTCCTTGGGCGTGTCCCTGTAGTGTGCTGCCGGTGCGGCAGGGGCCTTGCAGGGTGTGAGGCGGGTCTGCTGGGCGCTGGGAAGCGGGACCTCAAGGGGTGCTGGGAGAACACCTTGGGAGCTGGAAAGGATGCCGAAGAGGGAACGAGGCCGCGTGGTGCCCGTCAGTGTTCCCACCCTGGAGCCTGTGTTCTTTCCTGGAATTCGGGCTCAGTTCTCACACGGCTCTGTAAGTCAGGTTTCATACCGATACCAGCGCTGCACCGCGGAGAGGTGATGCTCCGGGGCCCCCCAGCCCTCCCCCATGGCTGATCTTGAGGCTGTGCTTCTGTGCAGGCTCCGTCCTGTCACCACCAAGTCCGGACTTGGGTCTGTGTGGAAATGTCTTCTTCAAGGCCAGGCCGCTGCCCTGGCCATGTCAGGTGTCCTGTCCGCCTCCAGAAGAGCACATTCCTGGCCGCCCTGCTCTCCCCACCCTCTTTCGACTTCCTCAGCTTTTCTGCCATGAGCACCTTTTCTGTCCTGCCCACAGGACTCTGCAAGGGCATTTCCCCTCACTTCCACACTCCAAAGGGGTCAATCCTGGCCCCCTGGGAGGGCGGGAGAGAAGGGCCAGCCTTGGGCTGCACCCTGTGTGCCCAGCCAGACGTTAAGGGACACCTGCCATTCACAGAAGGGTTGCAGACAGGACAGGCCCTGGAGAATCTGGCTGTTGAGGTGCTTGCAGTTTCCTCACAGCTGTGAGTTTAGCGCCACCTTGTGGATGAAAAACACTGGCGGTCATGATGGCTGACCATTTTCTTCTACAAAGCAGCAGGTGTCAACTCATGCGCACGTTTATATTAGATTTTGTGCCTGCAGGTTGCCTTGGGATCATTCATTCAGCTTTTATTTTATCCTAATTTTAAGCCTTTTTTGAGGCGATGTGATGATCATAAATTGTTCCTGGAGAAAGCACTTAGCTGGTTCAGAGGCTCCCAAGTGTAAGGTCCAGCGCCCAGAGAAGAGCTGCACCCTGCGTTACAACCTAGGAGCACAGCTCCACACAGATACACTAATGTCCAGTGTGAAAGGGCTGCAGAAGAGTATTTGCTGATTCTTTCTGTTCCAGTAAGTCCATGACTTATGAACATTGGCGTTGCAAACTTTCACAGGTGTCCCATCTGAGGCTCACTTTGTCAGATTGTGAACAAATCTGACTTACGAGTGTTCTCCCAGAACGGAACTTGTTCATCTGTCAGGGACTGACTCCATATTAAAATGCCTGTCAGCTTTGAATAGACTGAGCTTATAACCTACCGGGGTTGTTGCCTGTAGCTGCAAAGAGCTCTGTTTTACAGAAGCGGAAACGAAGGCCCAGAGAGAGATGAGACTTGCTCAAGGTCTTCTGGTCTCCCCGTGGGAGACCACAGGAGCCTCTCTGCTTTGGGGGGAGGCTGCTGGCCTCGGTGCTCTGGAGAACCCCCAACTCCTGTCATCCTAGATGCGCCTGATGGAGGAGGAGATACGGGACTACCAGCGTGCTCAGGACGAGGCGCTCACGAAGAAGCAGCTGCTGGAGCAAACACTGAAGGACCTAGAGCACGAGCTGGAGGCCAGGAGTCACCTCCGAGATGACCGCAGCCGGCTGGTCAAGCAGATGGAGGTCTGTGCGCTGTCCTAGTGGGAGCATGTGTGTGCCCGGGCCAGAGACCCTGGGGATCAGAGGGAAAACCCGGGACCAGTCTGCCCGGACTTCTGGTGTTTGCTTGGTTTTTTGTTTGTTTTTGAGATAGGGTCTTACTGTGTAGCCTGGGCTGGCCTCAAGCTCAGGGTGATCCTCCTGCCTCAGCCTGTCAAGTGCTGGAGTTACAGTTGTGCATCACCATGCCCAGCTAGTCTGCCTCAACATCTAAAAAAGAGTAATCTTCAAAAGCAAACCAACTATTAACCGGAAACGCACCACACACACACACACACACCATGCCCAGCTAGTCTGCCTCAACATCTAAAAAAGAGTAATCTTCAAAAGCAAACCAACTATTAACCGGAAACGCACCACACACACACACACACACACACGTGTGTGTGCGCATACCCATGTGCTCCAGTGTAATTTAGAGATAGCCATAAAAAAAAACAGCTTAGACTGTTAAAGTTAAAATTGTCAAGATTTTGATGAAAGACAGTGCTCAAGGCCAGGGAGAAATGACTTAAATTCAAAATCAGTAGAATTCCTGATTCAGCTTTGCAAATAAACAGAAGTGACTTTTCCAAACCTCTAGGGACATAGTCCTTTGTACCTAAGGAGTGATGTTTCCACTGCGGATCGTGTTATGAGATGGACCGCGTAGAGCCAGGATAATCTGATTCCAGTTTCGTTACTTTTCTGTGTGGCTGCTGTTTCGCTAACATCTTGGTTCTGATCCCCTTCGGGGAGGTCATTTTCAGGCAAGCTGTGCTCAACCTAGTTAACTAGAAATGGGTTTTTCTAGGGCCCAGACAGCCTCTCCTGCAATGGGAAGAGGCTTGGTGTGACCAGCCCTGGCTTGGGTCTGGGCCTGGGCTGCTCTGCCGGGCTGTGGACACTGTGGACTTAGGGCAGGAAGAGAGCCCTGGAGAAGTGATTTTTGCTGAAGATTAGGTTGTCAAGTCATCTCCTGCTAAGGTTTTGTTTTGTTTTGTTTTGTTTTTTAATGAGAAAATCATTTCTTCTGGCTGGCTGAAGAACTAGAAGCAGTAGCATGCTAGGTTGCATTGGCCTTGTGCAATATTTTAGGAATTTCTCCACTGATAATAGAATGACTGGCTGTCAAGGCCCAAGAGGGTACTTGGGGGTGTTTCCTCCCTAAGAGGTGGCTGGCAGGCCTCTTGCTGCGGCTGATGTCTTGCCTGTTTCTACTCTGGCACTTACAAGTGAATTCTCAGGACTCAAAGCTCTCCATGCAATGGACACTTGCCCTAATGTGACTGCAGCTTTTGCAGACCCTCGGAGAATTCTCACTGTGCAAAGTGGGCCTGGAGGAGGTGGGACTCCGGCACAAACAGCAGCTCTAGGGAAGACCCAGCTCTGTGCCGAGGTGGCTCGTGGGTCTCCGTTCCTGGAAAGAAGCCTGCTAGTGTCCCTGTAGGTTCTGAACGCTAGCAGGGAAGGCTGTTTGCAGACACTGTCATTCACATGAGCTCAGAGAGTTTAATTTTGGGCGTTTGCGGAGACACCCGTCACTTGTCAATCAACTTTGGCAGTTGCAAAGACAGTGTTTATATATGAATGCTGCAAGTTTAGGTTTCAAGACTCAGAGTGCTACCTGCTCAGAACTGCTGATTGCATTTGCGGCTCTGGGTCTGTCCAGACCGATGACAATTCTGCCAATGCTGGGAGAAACAGGTGCAAAGTCTACAGACCCTGATGCCAACGTGAGTGGTTTGGTTGGGAGATTCTTCGTACATGAAGCTTTGAAACTTGTCCTTTTAACATTCAGTGGTATTAAGTTGGGAGTCGGCAAGAAGACAAATTGTTATTCATACGTGGTGATCGGTTTACCAGAATTGGCCACCACCATCCTCGTGCACCAGGGCCCCGGGAGAGAGGCGGTGGGGGCCGGAGCAGGGCTGTGGGGCTTTGAGCCGCGGAAGGCACGCACTGCCCCAGCACTGGAGAGACGTGCCCGGCTGGTCTCTCAGTTGGAACAGGCAACAGGCTTAGCTATGACTTTTTAGAAGTATTGACTGATAGAGCGAAAAAAAGATTTGAAGGAAACATGCCAAAATACCCTTAGTTTTTATATTAGGTCTAGCGTGATCTTTTTGCTTTCTAACTGTATTTTCCACATGCACAGCTGCATTTTTACCTTACCGAAGCAATAAAATGTGGTTTTTAACGTGACTGCTTTGGGCAGTGTAAGAAATAGTGACGTCACGTTCCCGGAGCCTGGAGACACTCAGGTCTCCTTTGCCCGTGGGGTTTTCCTTTCATGGGGCGGGTCCGGCTCCTCGTCCCGGTCAGCACAAGCGAGGTGACCTGCGTGTGTGATTTCTCTTAGGACAAGGTGTCTCAGCTGGAGACGGAGCTGGAAGAAGAAAGAAGCAACTCAGACCTGCTGTCTGAGAGGATCGCTTGGAGCAGGGAGCAGGTACAGAGGCGGAGTGGTGAATGGCCGTCCTGGGTGAAAAAGGAACTGTGAGAGGTTAAGAGCGAGGGAGGGAAGGTCAGGCCACGCGGGCAGCAGGGGCCGTGCCATCTTACCACAGTGGGGGCCGGGTGAGGGGCCAGGCAGTGTGTCCTGGTCGAGGGTAGCAGCCTCGCAGGCGTTTTCCAAGGCCAGGAGCTTCCAGCTGAGGCTTTAGGAGCCTTTAGTCTGCCAGGCACTGTACGACGTGGGCGGCAGCAGGGACCGTTAGTGCAGTGGAAAGCGCCGGCCTTTCCTGGGGAGCCTCCCAGGCGGTCAGCGGCTGCACACCCAGGACGCCTTCGGCACCGGCACCGGGCCTCCCAGGCGGGGCTTTGTTTGCAGTGTTTCGAGGAGGGTCCCTTAATTCTATCCTCATGACCGCACTCGGAGGCAGCAGGGGACACTCCTCCTCCTCACTGCAGGGGACAGAACTACTTCCCGAGCTGCTTCCTCGGCGCCATCCCAGGGCTTCTGGGTTCCCGCCCACGTGGCCGTGCAGAGGACTGTGGGGTGCACCAGCACTGTCGGGCAGGGAGGCTGTCCTGTCACAAGAAAGCTGGGTTCTGCGCCCCATGCACACCCAGACCCGGGGAACACGTGGGACAAGGACTCGCTGTGCTCGGGGCAGCTTAAATCTGCCCTGTAGCCACAGCCCCGACCCCTGTGCTTCCCTTGGGTCTCAGCGGGTATGTAAAGGCCTTACCCCTTCTCCTGCCTAGGATCGACACTTTGTTAATTAACAAAATATAAGCAGAGCCTTGGAGTGAGGCGGAGTACAGTTAGGAAATTATCTGACAAGAGATTGAAATGAAAACGCTGAAAGCCCGGTGGTTGGTGGGGTCTGCCCCGTGTGCCTGTCCTGCCTGCCGCTGCTCGGTCACGCGCTTTGTCTCCCTTTGGAGTCGCGAGGATGGCAGGCTGCAGTTCTCAGGGTGACGCTGTGGGCTGGTGACGCCTGCTCGGAGCTGAAGGAATCGCTGGCTTCGTCTCCATCTGCCGTATCTGCCCGGGGCCAGGTTTCTTTGCGCCTCCCGCCTCAGTGCCCTTGACCGTAAAGGAAGCGCTGAGCCAGGTCCGGGTTTGTGAGTGGCACAAAAGCCTCAGCGGGGCCTGAGCTACGGAGGTTTGGACAGGGGCCTTCCTGGAACCCAGGACCCAGGACCCAGGACCCAGGAGAGAGCTCAGCCTTGCTGTTTGCCCCGAAGTTCTTCCCGCATTTCCAAGCTCCTTCACCTGATGGAGTAAAAGCGGTTTCCTCCGAGCTCCTGCCGGCTCAGCTCAGCAGCCTGGTTTCCACAGGGCCCTCCAGGCTCCGCTGAGCATTCACAAGGACAGAAGTGACCAGGAATTTGTTCTGCCAGGCTTTCTTGTGACTTCTGCGCAAGGGAGGGGTGGTGGGAAAGGTCGTTGTCTTAGGAACACCCGGGCAGTTAAGACAGAATTCCAGTCTCATGTTTTACACCAAAACCCAAACACAGGTACACTGAACCAGAGCCTGGCGGCTGCCCTCAACTCAGCTGCCCAGGATCTTGCCGTATCCGGTCCCTTCCTTCTCTGCTGGAGGAGCACGTAGGTTTTGGGAAACAGGACTGCTCTCCATGCTGTGGCCAACCTTGAGAGTATTTGCCCTGAGCTCAGCACTTGAAGTGCATCCCAGGAGGAGGTTAGGAGAGCCCACCTGGCTGCTGGGCGTCCTGCTCGCTCCTGCATCAGCCTCTGGTGGCTCGGGAAAGCCCCAGCCTCCCAGACCGATAAACACAAGGCTGCTGACCCGGGAGACTCTGAAGGCTTTTCTACATTCTAACCTTGAAATGCATCAGGAAGGTTGTATAGAAACCAGGGGGTCCGAATCACCTTTTTTGAAAGGCCCTCACGTGGGAATCGTGTGCCCACGAAGACGAATTCTGCAGAGGGCTGCAGCCCCCTCCCCATCGGCTCTGCCTCCTGCTTTAGCCTCTTTTCCTCACCCTGCTTCTCTGAGGAAGGAACGGTGAAGCCAGCTTGTGATAAATGAAGAAAGTGAGCACCACCTTTAGACTGATGAAGGAGCTGGTAAAGCGACAAACAAAGCCCGTGCGGTGCGGGGCCTCGAGCCCTGCTCAGACGTCCTTGACTGCTCCTGGTTGGTGCGGGTGAACTGGGCTGACCGAGCCGCTGCCTCACTGAAGGCATCAAAGCTGAGGCTCAGCCACGCCAGTCCGCGTTGAAGTGCGGAGAGGACCTGATTGCGAAGCCGCTTCGGTCCGCTTAGGGAACTTGCGAGCTTGCCAGAATCAGAGTGAGGGAAGGGAAATGCCCGCACCCTACCTTCTTTCCCCTCTTGCCCTCCAAGGCTGACCTCACAAGACCCCTGGGCTCCCAGAGGCTGCTGGCACGGCAGAGTGCAGCGTTTGCTGCTCTCTTTAAATGGAAAAGGTAAAGCTTGCAACTCTACCGAAACTCTGACTTCTTACACGTTCTTCGGAACCTACCTCCCCCATTTCCCACGCCTCCCCTGGTCTCAGGGGAGCAGTGGGGTGGAGAACCAGGACAGATTCCCCAGCAGCGTTACTAAGTGGAGCCTGAGGTCTGGCAAGACCTCAAGGTCAGCGCTCCAGACCTGAGGTGTAAGGGATGAGAGATGGGCTCTGGCCGGAGTCCCGTGGCAGTCAGCCGCAGAGCTGGCCTTGGGCCCCTCATTCCAAGGGCCACCTTCTGTGTCCCGGTGCCTGCAAAATGTGACGCTCTGTGCAAGGCAGTGCAGGAAAGCTACGGAGTTGCTGGCCCGGGGGTGCTGGGGCTTGAGGAGCTGGATCAGGGGTAAGAAGTGGCAAACTAACAATAAAACACGGCAGGTGCTGAAGGCAAGGGAAAAGCCAAGCGGCACACGGGGAAGACCAGCAGGCAAGGGCTGGGAGAGGAAGCGTGGCTTGGGGTCAGCTCGGAGGACAGGATAAGACAGACCAGCTCAGGAGCAGGAATGAGCCTAAGAGGGAATGGACGGCGTCAATGAGACGCAGCAGCGGGAACAGACACGCTGAGGGCCGTGAGTGGACGAGCGGATGAGTGTGTTTCTGGTTTCCATTGGAATGAAGAAAGGTAAATTTGCAGAGGCAGACTGAGGCTTTTCCCTGGCCCTATCCACAAGGCAATGGGGAGCCATCGAAGGTTGTTGAACCCAACAGTGAAAGATACACGGTGTTGCAGGAGACGGATGCGGCAGGAGCTGGGTATGGAGGGGAGATGGCACAGTCCCGGGAAGAGGCACTTGGGAGGTCAGGGAGCTGTCGCTCCCAGGGCTCTGGGGTTTCTCTTCGTTGTGTATATTTGACACCCAGTACATGCTGGCCCCGTGATCTGTGAGTCCCTGGCCTTTCCAGGGCCTCTCCTTTGCGTACGTGGTCAGGACACCATTATTCCGACTGATGGATTCGGGGAACCCCGACGGACCAAAAGCTTTCCAGCCTTTTGGAGCCTTGTGCTTTGTGTTTGAGTCTGGCTGATGTGAAGGAAGAGGAATGGGTGTGGAGTTGATAAAATAATACCTTCTTCTGTATAAACAATAAAAACAAAGGAAGGGGAGGAGTATCTGTATTCTCATAGTTTCACCGTGGACAGAAAGGTTTCTGAGTAATGTATGTGTTAGAGAATCTTTGGTTAAATACTGGGTATCTTACCAGCGCTGGATCTGTTTAAATCCTGAGAAATCCTTTTTCTGCCCTTCCTACAAAAATGGTGACAGTTGCCCTTGGTAGGGAGGGGCTTCTGGATGCCGGCGCCGGACGGGTCCCTTAGGGCCTCCTTGCTGTGTTCAGGGACTGTGAGGGCAGAGCTGTGATGTCCACCGCCCCTAAGGTGTGGGGCCATGGCTGGATTCCACCCCTTGCGGACTATGGCAGGGTCTTAAAGACCCCCCTGCTAACGAGGCGCATCTGGGCCTTGACTCCCGGGTTAGAAATAGCGTCACGGTGTTTGGTGAGCGCTTGGGTTCACTTGATCCGCGCCCGACTTCACGAGCACAGGATCCAAATGCCCATGTGATGATGCCAAGCTTGGTGGGCTCCAGATGTGCGGGGGGCTGATTTCTTCCTCGGGGCCCTGCTAAGCTGTGGTGGCTGAACACGGCTGGTCAGCAGGCTGGGGCACATGGGAACAGGCATGGCATTCTGCTGGGCATGCAGGCCTGGAGCGGCCAGCCCAGTGGAAAAAATGATTCAGCCTGTCTGAGCAGCCGGCAGGCAAGGAAAAACCCCAGCACAGGCTGTGGTGACACCCCTGCCTTCCCGGGGCTGGGTGAGGCTGTCCCATTGCCTCAGCACCCACAGGACAGGTCCCAGGGGACGGAGTGACAGAGGTCGGCAGGCACTCTGGGGAACTGCTCGTCGTGCAGCTGCTAGTGAAGCAGACTGCAAACAAGTGTCCTTCACAGGAAGCACGGGAGACCTCCGAGGGGCTTTCTCCTCCTTTTAGTTAAAAGGCTGCACAGAAGCAGTTCACACCGATTCAGTTGCTCAAAACCCGGTGTGCACAGTTGATTCACCGCGACTTGGTTGATTATCGCATTTAATATCAGTGCAGAAGTGCATGCCCGCAGCCTCTTCACAGCCCAATGAGAGGCACAGGTGAAGGGTTAAGTATTGCAATTAGCAGTCATAAGTGCAGCATTTCTGGCTTTTCATTAACCCAAAGGCAGTTCTTCTAACCCTGCGGGCTGGCTCTGACAACCCAGAGCCCTGCGGAACCCGACCTGTTATTTCTGACCAAAATGCTCAGGGTTTCACATTCTTTCAGTTCAGCCGTGATGAACTGTTGTTCTGGTTTTAGTTTGACTGGGAAGTTCTTGCTTGCTCCAAGTGATACAGCTGGAGAGGGAGCAGCATGCAAGTGAAAGAGACTTCCTGAGCCTCAGGGCTACCTCCCTGGCCGCAAGCAGGCTGCTGTCCAGCCAGGAAGTTTGTTTGTTTGTCTTTGTTGTTCAAGGG